TAAAAATCAGATAAAGATTATTCAAAATTTAAATAAATATTTAATATGAAAATGATATGCATATATTGTGAAATTAAAGTATATATTTATGCTATTTGCTATAAAGTATATAATTTCTTCTATGTATTATATTTACATTTTATTTGAAAAACAATATAGATCTCTGATGAAGGAGAAAAAATTAACTTACTAATTATCTCGCAATTTTGCAAAAATATACAGATAATATAATATAATTTGTCTAGAAGTTGTTTTTTACTTTATCAATATTATTCTTTAAGAGAAATATATCTATAAACAAATCATTATAAACTACTAGATGCGAGGATGAAAATAAAGAAGAGATGCTTTTGCAGTACAGAAAATGTTTTTTACTTTATTAATATTATTCTTTAGAGAAGTATATCTATAAACAAATCATTATAAACTACTAGATGCGAGGATGAAAATAAAGAAGAGACGCTTTTGCAGTACAGAAAATATCTATACAATGACATTTATATGGTCATCCCTTTCTCTTCCAGTTTTTCTTTTTTCGTTTTTTTCAATTTTTTTTCCGGAAATGCAAAAGATTTCAGATATGCAAAAAAATATGCATAGATTTTTCGGATATATAAGTGACATATGAGAGTAAATCTAAAAAAAGAGTATGTTGATTGGATTTTGAAGAATAACATAATTTGCTCGATTACTAGATTACATTTTCTACCGTATTTTGAAATTGTTTCGTTTATCGATTTTTAAATGTTTGTTATAAAAAGATTAATACGGTTTTTCCACAGTATGCGGAAAAAACAGTTCAGCGTTCTTCAAATAATGACTAAACGATATGCAACTTGATAAGAAATTATAACATTTTTAAATATTTCCTTGTTTCTACTTATTTTACGCATGTGTAACACTTTGCACTGGATTTTGCCCCATGATTATGCTTTTTTTATCGCGTTCACTCTTGTGTTGCGGTTGCACGTAGTCAAATAATTAACCATTATTTTTTTACACAGAAAACGACACGGAGACACCATTTCATATTAAATATCGTAATTTCATATGGAACTGTTCCCTTGCAATGAACCGTTTTTTTCTTAATTCGCCTCAATAATTGCGTCTCTTAAATATAATTTAGTTCTTTATTTTATTTTCTGTTTTGTGCAAAATAAAGTTTTATAATAAAATGTGATTAAATTGAATAGATATGTGTCATATTATTATTATCTTTAATTTAAATAGAGAGAGATATCTATTATATATAATAATAATTATTTTTAACTTAAATTATGAAAGAAATTTTAAAGAAGAGTAATTTATTTGAGAATTTACACACACACACACACACACACACACACACATATACATATATATATACATATATATACATATATATACATACATACATATATATATATATATATATATATATATATATATATATAAAATTATTATTTAATTTTATACATTAAGTTTTCGTTTTATTTTCTTATTTTAATATTTCATTTAGTGTAATTTTTTTCTTTGCTACTTAAAGCACTTTTAAAAAATATTCTTTTTTTTCTGTGTAAAGTCAAAAAAAGTTTTTGCAATGTTGTTTTATGACAATTTGTGGGATTTTGTGTGACATCACAATATTAAAGCGCGAATCTAGATTTAAATTGGAAGACTACTCAAATAAAAGTATTGCTAGCTCTTTAGGGTCTTCGACCGATTCTTTCTCCTTGAATCAGCGGTCTTTTATCTGTTGTGTTTACTACGGAAAGAAAGAAAGACACGCATGTCATTGCCCTGATAGTGAGATTGCGCACTTCACTCGATTGCTTCACCTGCACTTTTTTTATTAATATTTTTGGAAAGTTCGTTCAACTGAAATTATCATCAGTTTTCTAATTAAAGAGGAATATTAAATTTTGTAAATTAATTTTCCAGGTTTTTGAATTTTAAGTAAAGAAAAGAGGGAACGAAAGAAAAAGAGCCATAAAACACCATTATTGCCCATTCGCGCGAATATTTTCTGAATTGGAAATTTTCTCTTCTCTGTTTTCATGTTTCGTAGTTTATGATCTTTTATTTATAGATATATTTTGGAAGAATCTCTCAAAATTTTTAATCAAGTTTTAATCAATTTCTTTTTAATGGAAAAAATAGAAATTTTTAGAATTTTATCTTTATACTATTTTTAAAAGATAAGGGAGAGAAGTAGAAAAATAGGAAAAAAAAATATATATATATATATTTTATATATACCTTCTTGAAAATTTAGTTTCGAGAGAGATTCTCAAACAATCTGTGTGATCATGATTATATTTAAAAATTGAATTCAACTAGAATTCGTTTGTTCTATCGAGATATCGATTCGTGAGGACGAGAAAAATCGTTGTTAAGAATGAAAACGCGAGATGAAAATACCGTGTATGTCGCAGGCGGACAAGCAACCATGCGGCAAAGAATGCCGGTGATTATCGAGACACGAGACAAAACGAGGTCAGCTCGTTCGCGTTGGCACGTACCCCGGCGATAACGATCCTCTCGTTCTTTCGGTCCCGCATGTTGATCTTCTTCCGGTTTCCGGTTGCGCCAACCCGATCGGCTTCCCATTATCTCATGTCCTCGTTCCCGTCAGTTTTCCAACCATCGGATGATGACGATCATTCCGCTTCGATTGCGATCTTTTGCGACCCAACCGGCCGATCGGCGGTGGCCTTCTCGTTTTCATGTCTTTCATAAAAATTGTGAACCTTCGCGATTTAATACACTAACGATCTTTTTATTACATAGTTTATTGTATGAATAAGAAACATGAGCATTAGATCGTGAACATGAGCATCGAGATAATTTTATATTTAATTTCATATATATTTATTATAATATATTTATAATATAATATATTATTATAATATATTTTTAATAATTTTTTAATATCAAGAAGTCTCTCTCTCTCTCTCTCTCTCTCTATATATATATATATATATACATACATACACACACACACACACACACACACACACACACACACACACACACACACACACACACACACACACACACATATATATATATATATATATATATACAAAATCAAAATGACATTATTATTATTAAATATATATACATATTAAGATTAAGTTTAAGTAATCGATAAAAATGGTAAAATCACATAAAATATTTTTCAAAAATTTTAAATAGTTTTAATAATTTTTAGAGTATTACATATTTTACATATAATATATATATTCGTATATACTGATTTTATTAAATTTGCAATAATTAGAAAAAAATAAGTGAATTAATTAATCAGGTTTTTTTGACATTTTTATCTCTGCTTTAATTGACAAAATTCTTATTGCTTCTTTAAGCCTTAAATGTGAGTAAGATGAAATGGACCGAATGAAATTCTCGTCAGACACGCGCACAACTTTATCCGGCGTGAGACAAGATTTAATTATGTTTTCCTGAATTCTATTATCTACTTCCGACCGTCTGTTTAATATTCTCCTGAGAACTTATTCAGTTTATCCTTGAATACGGTATAAGGTTTCGTACTTCTACGTCAATTTCGAAAACACGTGCGCGTGTGTTTCCTCAATAATAGAATAGAGAAGCAACTCTTTCTTCTCTCTTTTCTTTTCTTTTACTGAAACATTACGTACTGTGTGCATGTGTTACGTTACTTATTCGGATTATATCATAGATTTAATATTATTCGATAATTTAATAAATTATTCGATAAATTTACATTGAATTAAAATTACATTGAATTTAGTAGACTCTGTTTTCCTCCCATATAATTTTCTGACTTTTAATATTAATGAGTCTTAATAACTACCAATCAATGTAAAAAAAATAATAAAAGAGAAGACTGAGGATCGTAGGATGTTAAAATGTAATGAAAAATAAAAAATAAATCCAAGACAGAAAGATTATATATTCATTAATTGATTGGATGGAAAAAGCACTTATCTAGTCATAGCAATAATTCAAATGTACAATACCGACAAAAAAAAAGTCAATATGTGTATTAATATTTTGTTTTGTATTGAAAGTCATTTGCTGTATTTATCTTTATTGTATTTATATAAATGTATTTATATTTATATTTCTTTTGATTTGTTTATATTCCGTTGGATCAAAGTTTGATTGAAATGTTTTGTGTTTATTTATAAGTTAAACAAGTTCTTTGAAACATTTTGCACGCGCTTTGTATTTTACATATCGATTACTTTACGTACATGATCATGTGCATGATATACGGTGATTCATAAAAATTCATGAGATTCTTTCTCGAACGACCCTCTCTCGATCACGGTTGAAATTCAACTTAATTCCCTTTCCTCTGTGTCCTGCTGCCTTCCATATTTCTCAAAGGTGACGAGAAATCTGGGCTCTTCGAAGCCATTAAGCCCGGCAGTCGTTTATCGTCCCGAATACAAAAGAGCACTGTTTCGCGCGAGTCGTCGAATGGTTCTTTTGAAACCGTACTTGGAACTAAAGGGCCCGATGAAGTTTGCATACTTTTTGTCCCCTCCACTCAGACAGTTTCTGTCGGGGATAAATCTCGATTTGCGGTCTTCCGACTGCGATATTAAACTAATATTCTTTCTCTTTCTCTCTGTCCTCTTAATATAGAATCTATAAGTATTCGGTATTTTTTGCGTTTTATTCCGTAACTGACTTATTATTTAATTAAACGATTTTAATTACGAATGTAATAAACCTTTAATTTCCAAGTATGATTGCCAAGTGTACTTTAACGTGTTAACTAACGTATTTGCACAGCTTTTTGAATTTTGTTTCAAGATATAATTTGAAATTAAAAGTATCAAATTAAACACTATTCTGTATAAAATTTTAAACCGCCAATACGTATATTTTATGAATATTTGGTAATATAATTGTTATATATATAATAAAAATAATTAATAAAAATAAATGTTATATATGATATTTATTGTTACAATAATATAAGTTTTGATATGATCTTTTTTTTAATGGATGAATTTGTCACCCAGGTCGGCGGATGGACGTGCCAGCCGCTGGAAAGCCCGAATCCGGAGGAAAGTACGAAGAAGCCGGTAATCATCGCCGTCGTCATCATCGCCGCGGGCGGCGCAGAAGGACAACTGAGTTGACGAAAGTCGACCGATTTACGAAGAGGAAAAGAGAAAGGAAGAAGCGCGAAGCAAGTAAGTAAGCAACGACACGGAGCATCAGTTAATCACCGTCATTGCGGTCGATCGAGGCGAACGAAGAAGAGGAAGAAGAAGAAGTGGGAAAAAAGGAAGCAGGAGAAGCACCCGTTGGTGGGAGAAACGATCGGTGAAGGAGAAAAGTCTCAGTTCGCCTCTGAAGACATAAACGACGTAGACAACGTCCGACCACGTGAATGTGTTCCCATCATCCGTAGCTTAGGCGAGAGTGATTGCCAATTCCCATTCATTCATTGGCAACATGCGGTAGACGCTAATCTCGATCGAGAAGCCGATTATAGTGATTTTCTTACGAATTATTTTCAAATTGATTTTACTTGATTAGTCTTCTTCCTTTTATATTTTATACCTTTTGAGAGAATTTTGAAGAGCTCAACAAGTATTTATATTTGGAATATTTCACATTTTACGAATAACTTGAGGAGATTATCAGGATTATTTAGCGATTGGAGAGAGAGAGGAATTATTCCGTGGGATTTCTGTTCCGGCTATCTCGTGCTTTGATCGTCCTGAACGGATTCTCCGAATCACTCATTCGGTTTGAATCTTCATTCCTGCTTCGTGTTTCGTGGGTAGAAGATCCTGAAGAGACTCGAGAGACCAGTCGGTGGAATCTCGATCTCTTCTACTTCGCGTGCGCTTTGATTATTCCGAAGGGACTCCGAATCGTCAGTGGAATCTTCATCTTCGCTACTTGAATTCCAAAGGGACTCAAAGTGTTATTATTATTCGTGGTATGTGATCTCGTTGGTATATTTGACTTTGACAGTGACAGTGCTTTCGTTTTTTTTAAATCGTTATTAAGTTAGCGAATTGGCGTGAAACTCTCGTTCGTGGAGAACATCGGAACAATCTCTCGCGAGTGTTGTATCAGTGTTGCCTCTTCTTTTTAGGGAAACTGGACAGATGCGCTCCTTTGCGAAGATGATGCGTCACATCCTCATCGTCGTCCTTCTTGCCGTGCTCGTCAACGGAGCACCGAGATCATCGATCATCTACGCGGACGACAAAGCGGTGAGTGATATTATCTATTTATTGAATCTCGGAAAAGCGAGAACTAAAACATCTTTTGGTGACTAAGTCATCGGCGATGAAGTATCCAATTTAACCATTTTTACGGGAGTAGTAATTGATTGATTATTAATTAAAAAACTCAGTAAATAATTTATCTTGTACCAAAATACTGCAGAATATCGAGAAATTTAGAGAATAAAACTAGTGTAAATAATTTTTTTGTTATCGATTTGCATTTCTCATATTTTTTAATTATAACTTCTTTAAAAAATATAATTATAACATCTTTTGTCATTTAATTCATTAAAAGGTGGAATATGACTTGAAAATAAATTGGATAAATATATGAATTATTATAATTTCTTTTATTATTAAATTGTTAAATATTATTTTGCAGAGAATTTATTTATATATATTGTTTTTTCCTTCATATTTTTTCCGTATTTTTAATTTAATAGATCTGTAATTCTCTATTTCACTGCTAAAGATTCTTTATTTGGTAACATAATTAAGCATCTGGCTATGTTGAATAACAAAGTTTCATTTTGCACCGTTGGATATTTCATCATCACAAACATCGAGTTACGCTATTCCGAGATCAATTATAATTGTGCCATACACGTGGCGATTATGACGGCCCTGTTCTGGAATAATTTAAACGGAACTCGTGCGAGTAATTAATTGATTACTGCTCACGAAAATCCAGGTGAATCATATTTTGTCAAAAAAATTCGTCCATATCTTTGAACATATATATCAATTTTAATAACATCACTATAAATTCATATTTGAAAAAGTCATATTTATATATTAACTTGATAATGTATGCATCAGCAGGAATTGAATTATATTTTATTTTATAAAAAGTAATATATAATTCGACTATAGAATATTTTATAGAATAATATATACATAATATATAGCGAGTATACTTCAATTATAAAATAACGCTTATACTTTCATGAATTTAATTATACTATATTCTCTACATATTTTATTTATCGTACTGAATATGTCTGAAGAGAATATATCATAGTATCCTTTTTTTTAAATGTATTTTTGAATTTTTAAAATTGTATTCCAGTCAGAGCTTCAATTGCTTTACTTTACTTGGTTTTCCGCGGATTGTAATCAATTATTTTGCACACATACATTTGTGCTAGGTTACATTTCGCGACCATGATGCAGGATTAGCTTTTCCTGCAGAACGTCATTCGGGGAGCAATTTAGCTCGTGTTTCGACGGCGAAGAATAATGGAGCCGCGGATATTGGAATCCACGGGGATTCAGATGTAACGGCGAGTTTCGGAAGCGAGTTTCGACAATATTGCGCGGGTCAAATTTGGTGCGCCGAAATCGCGCTTCGGACAGGATATTAGAGATATTCAATCGCGCGATATCGAGTAGACAAGCGAGTTTAGAGAATTGCAGTATCGGGGCAGTCAATAACGGTGTTGACACCAAGTTTATTCAGTATTCAGGATGAATCGGATATTTCCGTGGTTATAACAGTATTATTTGCATATATATTAAAATAATTATTGTTTAATTCATATGCATCATATTATCGTAATGTAATTTTTTCCATGAAATCGTAATTATTTTTTTCCTTTTTTTTAGAAAGATTTTACGAGACGTCATTATTTTTATAATTATTTTATTCCGTATCAAATATTTGGGCTTAAGATTGATTTCCCTTAAAAACCTCTCTTTTAATTAAAATTTTTATTAAAATGAAATCCATTTGCGCGCGCGCGCGCGTGTGTGTGTGTGTGTGTGAGAAAATGCAAACTGCAATTTTTAAAACAGAATAAACGTTTAGTTTTTAATCGTCATTGTAAATAACAATTTCACAGATTTTTATGAAAAATATTTTATTTTTAAATATTTTATTTTTTAATTAAATTGCTTAAAAAAAGAGATATTTAAATTACACTTTTCAAATATATTTCTAAACACACACATGTATAAAGAATTTATATAAATATTTTAAATAAATTATATAAATATTTTAAATAATAATATTTTATATAATTTATGATTTTTTAATAAGAAGATGTGCTTCGTAGAGATTCAAGATATCGATAAATATCTGCATCTTTCTCTCTTATACTCCTTTGTTTTAGGCAAGGGTAGATTATTCCGAGTGTTTTTAGTCTTTAGCAGAAGAAGACGGTCATATCCCCTTTAACCTTGCTTATCTACGGGCATCGATCATATTAATTCGTAAAGCTACACGCATGCAGATGGTGCTTCGTAGTGTGCTCGTATTCATAAGGCACTTAATATCAAGCAGAAGCTCGTAAAGCCGACTGCGGTGTTATACCGTTGTGTGTATGAGTATATGGGATACCCCCGCGATAGCGTCTGGGACTCCCTGTGGGCTTTGCGGTTCTACCAGGGACAGTTCTATAGTTTTCGCCGAGCTGTAACGTTCCATTACCTTAATATATTACGAGAATCGCTCGTTGAAACGACTTACAGGCATATCCACGTATGAATAAAATTTTGATTACTTGCGTTATAAAATTCATATGAATAAAAATTAAATGCAACGTGAATATAGTATTTATATTTGTTAAATTAATTTAAACGTAGTCGTATGCGCAATTTTAATTTTTGATTTTTTTACATGGCATATATGATAAACCTACATATGATTTTATAATAATTTATAAAAAAATGGAATTATAAAAAATATGTAGGGTAAATAAGGAATTATCTTCTCTCTTTATTTCTAACATAGGCAGTGATAACTGTTTTCAAATAGGATCAGGTCGCAATAAAGATAATTGTATACGTTTAATTGTTCCTTAATGACTTTGCTCGATAGAAGAAGGTTTTAATATAATTATATTTCGGGATGAAGGAGTGAGGCAAGGTGCATTGGCAATGCAAAAGTAGGATTCTGCGTCGCTAAAGTTGGTCGCTTGGGAATTAATGGTACGCTGCGTTCCGCGGCATTAACTTTTTCCGTGTGGTTTCAGGCACAGCTTTATTGTACTAATGACTGCCAGGAGAGAACGAGCTTAGTGTTGGCCTTCGTATAACAAGTATATTTTCTTTTTTTGTTTGCGCGCAAAAAAAAATATTTTTTCCATTCCGCCTCGTGTATTTTTCGTCGCGGAATCATTAATCCGATTGGCGTCCAAGTCTCGTCAGAGATACGTAATGGCTTACATTTGCGTCCATGGTATATGTAATTATTCGCGTAAATTATCAAATTTTATTTTACCAAATTGCAGATAAAACGCTTCAATTTTCATCTGCATCGAGCGACCGACAAGGAAAAATTTAATACATCGCGGGGATTTTTTATTCAAAGCGAGGAGCCCCAACTAGGGAAACATAATATGTCGCGACAAGTTAAGTTAGGTTGACAAAGAGAGTCGGAATTAATTGCACTCTGTGATGGTCTTAATATACGCGTTTTTCGCAAAAGAGACGTATACATAGTTATATTTTGTGCTTTTATTTTGAACTGTCTAATGTAATTTACCTACGTAATGTATCTCTCAACTCTCTTTCCTTTTATTATATGATTATGATACATTTTAATTTTAATTTCATTTTTAAACATATAAAATGGATCTCTTTAAATACGTACACATATATATTTTTTAATAACTTATTCTTCTGATTATAATTGAAAATATCATTAATTTTGATTATATTATCACTATTCATTATATACTCATGAAGGCAGATACATGATTTAACTCGTTTGGGGAAATGATACAACATATCGTATTAATAATAGGTAGTGATTGTTGTAGTAAAGCTCAACAGCAAATTATGAGAGCATTGTCGATAATCATGATATCAAAATTGCGGATAATCTTTCGATTATATTAATTGAAGCCAAATATAATAATTTGTAATAGTAAAGGGTTACATATTAATAATGATTTTCGAGAATGCAACAAAGCGCACACATTTATCTTTATATTTTATCAACATAGTAATTTAATTTAATTATTAATTGTCTTATATTTAGCTTGTTGAAGAGATATTATCTTTAGACTAATATTTATTAAATTATAAATAGATTTTATAGCATGATAATTAATATATAAACAGATTTTATAGCATGATAATTAATATAATAAGAGATAATTAATATAATAAGATTTAACCAAGTATATATATTTAATTAATTTGTATTTAATTTATATTGTTTATTTACAAAGATTTTGTTCGTTTTTAATATTTGATTAAAAATTCTCATCAAAAATAAAAAATAAGGCAAAATAGTATTTATATAAAAATGTTTTATATCTGCTCTTTTACAATGCATTTCCCATAAAGGTTTCGGAGCGCGAGGAAGTTAGGGAAAATATATTCCAACCATCGTCGGATACGTGATCCATTCGGTTTATTTCCGGCGAACATAGCGCGCGACACACGTTATACCTTCGTTTCTCTCCATGTAACTGGTCAGAATATTTCACTGGTCGGAATATTCCGTCAAAATTCCGCGTAATGGTTGTCGTGCTCAGAGTTTTTGATTTTTATCTTTTTTTCGTCAGATTCTGCAATAAATTAACATAATATTTACATTCTAACGACTTTTTTGCGTCATTAGTCAAACTAATTTTATATGAATAAAAAGGAAAAAAAGAATACAAAATTATATTCGTAATTTTGCTGGCGATCCCGAAAAATTTGTCGCAATATATTTCATTTAGTTTTATCACGAGAAAATATTAATAGCTCGAATTTTTTTTAAATATAAATAGCATTGAAAAGATCTAAATTAAATTAAACAATACATAATAAATTTAAGTAATGGAGGAAAGAGCAAAGAAAGTGAATTAAATGATAATATATAGTAAAAGAAGTAATAAAAGAAATGGACGAAAAAAGCTAATAATTAATATTATAAAATCAGTTTTCAGCAGAACGTATATCACAAACATTTGTAAATTTTGTATAATGTTTAATGCGATTTAATATCGAGTTATCTAACAGAAATTGACTTGTTAGATTTTTGATATTAT